CTGGGTCAGTGCCTGAACCAAGTCGCATTGAACGTTGATATTGCCGTTTTTTCAATTGGATAGCTGTCACTTCTATCTCGACGCTTCCCCGCCCTGGCGAATGTGTTTGTTGACGGTGTATCGTCAGCTCACATTACTCTGCTGATCAGACTTGAATTGCTGCATAGTTGGGCAATCATTGAGGTAGGGCTATGTTGAGACGCGAGTTGAGAAGAGCCAAAGCATACTGAGCAGCCACTGCACTTCCCAAACAACACCCTCTAATTCGTCTACTAATGACCATAGCGAGGATCATCAGGTGGGGGTTTCGGATTGAGCTTAATCATGTCATCAATGCGGAGAATAGTAATTGCAGCTTCAGTCGCGAATCGGAGGCACTTAATTTTTGAGATTGCTGGCTCCATAATTCCACAACGAAGATTATCACGGACAGTTCCCGTCTTCAGGTCCAATCCAGTAAACTTGAGGGCGTCGTCTTTCGAGTCCTGCTGTGCAGTATGGTGATTGGCCCGAAGTTTGGCAACAAGTTCAATAGCATCTTGGGCTGCATTCACCGACAATGTACGAGGTATAACCAGCAGCGCCTGGGCAAATTCGCTCACGGCGAGGTGTTCACGAGTACCCAGAGACTGAGCTCGTTTCTCAAGGTGAATCGATAGGGCTGCTTCGACCGCCCCCCCACCCGCAACAACAGCCGTCGACTCAAGAACACGTTTCACCACCATCAATACATCGTGTAGTGCGCGGTCGAGCTCATCAAGGTGGAATTCATTTGCACCTCGCAATACTATCGTTGTCGCCTTCGATAAAGCAGTGCCACGGACGTACAACATCTCACCGTCGCCAACTCGTTCCTCTTGCACCACTTCAGCTGAACCAAGACACTCCGCATCAAATGTTTCATTGCCTTCCATATCTGCCAACGTCACAACGACCCGGCCTCCAGTTGCTCGTGCGAGGCGTGTAAGATCCTCCTTCTTCACTCGCCGCGCTGCCAACGCGCCTGCTTCCACAAAATACTTAAGGCATGTATCGTCTATCCCTTTTGTGGTTAAGACCACATTTGCTCCTGATTGGAGGATCTTTTGGATTCGCTCTTTGGTAATGTCAAGTTCACGTTGGCGAATACCCTCAACTTCCGCAACATCGTCAACTTGAACAGACACTCCCATCTGCACCTTGTGCCTTTGGAGTGGGAAGTCGAGCAGTGCGATCTTTGCATTTTTTATCACCGATGGCATTCCCTGGGCAGCACGTTGAACGTTGATTGCGAAACCACTCACAAGCTCAGATTCCGTCGATGACTTCCCATGGGCTTTAAGGATGTGAATTGCGGATACAGGAAATCGCGCTTTTCCATCTGCTGTTTGCCTGAGAAACGAAACAGTCGATCAGTATACTATCAACAATTCTTACGTTTTGACAGAGCGGACGGCATCAACTGCAAGTTTTGACCAGAAGTCTTCATCTGCATTCAGAAGTTTCGATGCCATCGATGTTTTAGCCGCAGATATAATGGCCTCATCGCCTATGCGCTCTACAGGCACCAGGAGGGCTGACTTCACAAATTTCACGGCATCCTTCAAAGCAATTCGAAATCCTGTCATGATGGTTGTGGGATGGATACCATTCTTTACTAGTTCAGTTCCGCGTTTAAGAAGTTCAGCGGCGATTATTACTACTGATGTGGTCCCATCTCCAACCTCACTGTCTTGAAGCTCTGCCAGCTCTACCAATACTTTTGCGGCAGGGTGTTCAACTTCGAGGCGTTGTAGAATGGTAGCACCTAGGAGCCTCGTTAAACCGCAAGGAAGTGAGCACGTGCGTACCATCATTCGTAATAGTGACGTCGCCGATATCGTCCACAAGCATTTTATCCAGTCCAACGGGTCCCAGCGATGACTTCACGATATTCGAGATCGCCATGGTGGCCTAGATAGGTCGATCGAGAACGAACATTGCAACAGGCGCTGCCTCAAGACAGTCACGTATTCGGCTCGGACATCAATCCCCGATTTGCGTTCGCCATCGATACCGACCAGTGACATAATCCCCTTCACTCGCGGGCACGTAACTGGCCGTGTGTGTCGAAGGCCTCGGATATGACCGTCGCCAATGTGCCCACCGACCAGGGGCCCCTAGGCAACGCGCGGTCTGGGCGTCTTTTGCTAAGTCCCCGGGCAGTCTCCGCCAGGTCCTCCGGCGTCTCCGGCGCGTCTCGGAAGTCGCGTCTTGGCCGCGTCTGGGGCGTCTCGGCCGCGTCTGGCGGCGTCTGGCCGGCGTCTGGGCCGGCGTCCCGCGTCCGGGCTGCGTCTCTCGCGCGTCTCTCGCGTCCCGCGGGTCTGGCTTCGGTCCCGGGGTCGTCTTTCGTGGTCGTGGGTTCGGTCCTGGGGTGGGCTCTGGCGTCTTTTTTTTCGCGTCCCGGCCGCGTCCCGCGTCTCCGGCGCGTCTCGGCCGCGTCTGGGGCGTCTTGGCCGCGTCCTGCCGCGTCCCGGAACTCGCGTCTCCCGCGTCTCGGCCGCGTCTGCAAGACGCAACGTTGCCTAGGGGCCCCTCCGACCGGTACCGGTACCAAGCGTGGACATAACACACCGGACCCTCACACCGGCTAGAACCCGAGTATGCTAGTACTCAACCCAGCATAGCATAGCCAGAATAAGGCAGACTTAGCACAGCATAGCATGAAGCACCAGCATAGTATAGCATGAGCATAGCCAGTATAAGGCAGACTTAGCATAGCCAGCATAGGCCAGTATGAGCGTCGCAGCATAGGGAGGATAGCATAGTCCCGAGTTAGGGCAGCATAGCCCAAGGAGCGGAATGTAGGCGGCTCGCTAGGTAGTGTAAAGAATCTAAGTCCCGTACATCAACTTGACGTTAAGGTACAGTCCGTAGTAGCAGGATAAGCACAGTGGGTGAGAGGGGAAGCTCAGTGTGCTACCTTACGGTAGCTCAGTCATAGGATAGTAACTGATTATAAAGAAGGGGAACGGGAAGGAAGGCCTAACTAGGGTAGGTACAGTAGCTTAGATGCGGTAGCGCAGAAGATAGCGTAAAGCGACAAAGACAGTAGCGATAATTGCCATCGAAGATAGTCAACGCTAAGGCGATAGTATGTCATCAAAATGTGCCTCTTCATCACGGTTATAATCATCATGCCCTTCTTCAAACTCTTCAGGTACTGCTGAAGGAGCTGGAGTAGCCGGTGCTGTAATATCTCGAGCCTGGTTAGTAACAGCCCCAGTATGCGTGGCAATCTGATTGACAGTGACAGTGACATGGTTAAGCTTAGTGGTAAGCTGTGAAATTCTAGAAGTTAAGTCAGCTATCTTGCCATCTGTTTTCTTCGTTAGGGTCTCGAAGTAAGTGCGTTGATCTGCCAGAACATTAGCTATAGCCGGAACGATCAGGTTAGTTACCATCTGGGAATCTGCAGCACTGAGAGATGTGCCCGCAGCCGCAACAATAGGATCAACAAATGTAAATTTGGAAGGGTCGAGATTGTTGTTCTTCACTATGGTATCGCGGAAGTGTTTGACAGTGAAAAACTTCAAAGACGCATGCGCACTGAAGAACTTTTTACTATGGCCCTTGTCCTTTTTGTTACTCTGCTTCCACAACTTGGAGCAGCGACCTGCGGTTTTGGTAATGTGGCTTCGGATGTCTTCGCCAAGCGTGTCAAAGAGACATTTGAATACATGGGTCAGCAACAAAGCTTCATTCTCAGGTATTTTATCATTGTCTTCTGTGATCAGGTTAAGAAGAACAAGGTTATGCAGTTGCAGGAACAATCGTAAGATTTCTGATTTGGAGCGATTAAGCCAGTTTTTATTGTGCAGTGCAGAAAAGACAAAATGAAGGTCTTTACTCAAAAACATGGTCTGGCACTTTAGTCTACCAGAGGGTTCCTTGTATTCTAAATCATCTTGTTCTTTATACCAAGGTAACAACGAGAAGAGATCCCTATCGAAAGCTTCAGAAGCATCCAATCGGAGCAGCTTTTGACATGGAACATAGTATGTCGTAGTGCCTGGATGGCGCAGATAAATCTTCTTATCAAAATTACGTGCATCCGCAAGTTCATCCTTTGGATTATTCATTTCATGAGAGGCAATATCTTTTGGCGTATGGCGGTTGAATTCAGGGAGAAAGATTTGTTCTCCTCGCTTCTTACCGAGATCTATGTCGCAGAGCTTTAAGTTAACCTGGTGGAAAGACATCTGAGTGCCAGTCATATACAGGGCTTTCTCCGAGGAGAGTTTGCGTACCACACATTCGTCTTTGACATCGTAGCCATCTTTGATGAGGTTGTCGTAGAGTTCCTGCGTGAAGACGGGTTCAGTTAGTTTCACGTCAGTTACTAAATAATTGCTTAGTGTCTCTGGGCGGAGACGACCGGACTTCATTATGACTAGTTCGGACAACTTCGCGGTAAATTCCTCGAACATATCGGGCTGCCCTTCGTACATCTGTTTGATGCTTTCCTCCGGATTGGAAATCCGGGGGCTGACACGGTCCGGGTAGGCTTCCGAAAGTAAATGGTAGGGAAATATTTCGCCTTCAGCCATGTCGGATTCCTCGAGTACTCGGTGCGTCATTATCGAAGATCCTAGGGGCAGCCAAGTTCAAGTGGAGTGATGGACACTGGGTCCAAGTCTCATGTGCAAAAATCTTTTGTCCGAGAATCGCTAAATTAATGGAGCTAGTCATTGTGATGGCCCTCAAGGCCTATAGCACGACAGTATTTCACAAAAGGGTCCCTTACCAGGGGCTTCGTAAACATGTCGGCTACATTGTTGGTGCCCTCGATGTGTCTTACCTCGAGTTGAGAGGAAGACTGGTACTCTCTTATCTTTAAGTACCGCATATCAATGTGTTTTGACCTGCCTGAAGAAACAGGGTTGGAAGAGGTGTGAACTGTTCCAAGGTTGTCGCACAAAATGCTCGTTGCCTTCAGGGGTTCGTCTTTACCTGAGATGGCACAGTTCAGTTCCTGTATGAGGTTCCGTATCCAGATAGCCTCCTGGGCTGCAATGTTTAGAGCAATCAGTTCAGATTCATGAGTGGAAGTAGCTAGTATAGGCTGCAGCTTAGATTTCCATGAGATCAAGTTGCCCATGAAGAAGAAAGTGTAGCCTGTCGTTGACTTCTTAGACTCTTCCATCTTTGGTAGGTGATCAGCATCACTGGCGCCCCAAAGATCCTTACTGCACACAGGATCAAAAGCTCTGGGTGCATCAGATTCAGGTAAGTCATGACTGGGCTTGATGATGCCTAGGGAGTCCCATTTGTAGGAGTCTTTCGGTACAAGATCAAGAAGAGTCTTGTCTTCGTGTGCGCTTGCTTTCAAATGCTCAAAGATGGGATGCTTGTCACGGTAGTAAACTAGCTTTAGTCCCTTTGTGCCATTTAGATACTGAAGGAGTTCCCTAAGGAGGAGACTCGACTTACAGCCTGAGTAATATCGGGCCTGCAAGTGATGCTGATATAAATAAGAGAGCCAACAATAGATGCATAATTCTTAGTGTCATGGAGGTACGCCGTTAACTCCCTGTTATCCTTTACAAGGGGTTTAGCATCTGATCTCATTGGGACAGATTTTGTCCCTATGCCATTTAGAATTGGTCGTTCTTTGAAGAGTGCGTTAAGCTTCTCCTCAACGTCCATAGCAAGGCGCCCAAGGTGCTTATCATATTTGATGTTGATACCGAGGAAGCTAGACATAGGCTCAAACTGTGAGATGTTGAACTCAGCCTTAAGTTGGTCTCTGAGTTCGACTACCATTCTCGGTGAGCCAGTGATGACAAGATCGTCCACTTCGCAAAGGACAAAGAGATTTTCCCGCAGGCCGTCTGATTGTACTTTGGTCTTATGATACAAAGAGGTTTCAGACGTGGCACGCGTGAATCCCAACTTTTCAAAGAAGGATGTCAAAGCCTTGTTCCAGAGCTGTGGAGATTGTTTGAGTCCATAGAGTGCTTTGCGCAACTTAACGA